TAGAAAAGTAAGGATTCACACAGCTAAAATGGTTCCAATTGCTACGATTCCACTTAACTGCCAAACATAAATGCCATCTTTTTGATTCACTGCTTTCACCCTTCATTAGATTGTTGGTGCCATTTTGCAACTACTGTTATATAATTTCATCAATAGCAGTCATTATTCTCACCCTAAATTCTTCTGAAATATGTAGCTGCTATGAGTGACATTTTTATATATTAGCTGTTTCTGTGTGAACAACAAAGGAATGGGCATTGGAAGTTATAAACAATTTTTTTAAATGCTCTTTATGGTTACATCAGAATTTTCTCATTAAATTTACCTTCTAGGAATCACTCTAAATTAAGATGGTACAATGCTGAAAATCTCTGAAGAAGAAGAGTGACATGCAAGATGAATTTAGATTCTACTCACATCAAGGCAGTGAGATTCTAGAATGTCCTGTGAATAACCAGGTGACATCCCTGATAGTCCTTCATAGGACTGAAGCAACCTGAGGCTGATAATTATTGCTCTTATAGCTTCAACTAAGCCATCTTTTAAACATTAGCCTTGAAGAAGGAAAAATCAATCAACATTTTGCTTCTCAGATCTTGCCCAAAAAGAGAAAAGCTGATAATTTTTCAAATCAATAAACAGCATGCACATACAAAAATTATACAGCCATGTAGTTATAAATAATTGGAAAAGTTCTAGAAATTATTCAAACAAGAAGAAAGGACAACAATCCTTGTGTTCAGGTATTTCAGTTACTGGCCAACTTCAGATGCTTTGAATAGTTTTAAAGACTATTATGTGTTTAAAGACTACTACGTGAATGAATAAATGCCTTTATATTTTCTCTCCAAGTCATACCAAAGCGTATTATGGTCCAGAGCTTAGATTACTCTTTAAACGAACTTTCTATTTCCTCTTCTATTTCCATTTGAAATAGATCTTTTCTAGCCATATGTTGGCATTTTGATGTTTCTATAGTGATACTAATCTCTAAGGCAAGGCAAGATACTATTCTGCATTTCCCTAATACTGTGTCCTCATTGAAAGGATCTTTTTTTGCTGTTGTTACAATCTATTATGTTATTGGACCAGATACTATGGCAAATCACTCAGAGGGACATCGATCTTCTATTTTCCATGTGTATACCACTTCCTGAATAACTTCTACTCACATTAATTGGACAGCTTTCAAAAGGAATAAAGCATTTGGTGAAGTGCTATTTATTTAACATCCGCTATGTATATGGCACTACGAGGTGCTACAAAAAGAAAGAAATAATAAATAAAATGAAAACAGTTTTGTCCTCATGAAGCTTATACCCTCATAAAGGAAGGTATTACATTTATACAAAAAGCTATAATGACCAGCTAAATGTAAAGAATGTCATAAGAGAAATGTCAATAAAGTGCTATAGGAATTCAGAGAGGAAAAAGACCACCTAAGATTAGGGAAATCTATGAATTTAGCATTGAAAATTGAGGATTCTGACTGGCCTTCATGGAAGGGAGAGGAATGATATAAGAAAGAAAAGAGAAAAACCAGGCTGAAACTTTAAAACCTAAACCTAAACTTCAAAAACCTAAACACTAGGCTGAAACTTTAACTTTATTCACTAATCAATAAAGACTTAGGGTGACTACAAAAAATAAAGTCAATAGGAGTAAAGCTCTGGGTTTGTTTGTTTTGTCCTTTTTTGGAGAACTGGAGGGGTGAGAAGGGGGAAAATTCCATATTTACTTCAGATATCAGAAATCAGCAAATTTTATCAGGATCTTTCAAAAGAAAGGTAACACACTGAATGATTGTAGAGTGAGCCTTAGCACCTGCATCAGAGCTAACAGGACATGAGGGGAGCTCTTCAGTCACTTCCGAATAGTATCCAAAATTCTAAGTGAGGAGTTAAGTGAGCCTTTTCTCAATGTCCAGTTCTTTGAGAGCCATATAACACATGGCCTCTATTTATAACCAAAGTCTACAGCTACCATGAAATCCCCTTTTTATCTCTAAAGACTGCTAAGTGTTTCCAATATAGTTCAGGAACTAAACTTTCCAAGAACAAGGCATCTCAACATGATGAATGGGGTCTTAGAATTTAATGTGCCTGTTCCTAATCTTTGTATTCAGAATACCACTAGTACTAGGCTTACAACTGCTGATCTTATGAGGCCCCCTAGTGTTCACAATGCACACACCTTATAATCTGAACACTGACATTTCAGAAAAACCTTTAACTGTCAAATCAACTAGGGAATCATTCCGTAGCCCATTAAAGAAAATCATTTTAGGGAAATAAATGATACAGATGAAATGTAAAAGATCCTATTTTAATTAATTCATCTTGAATTACTTTAAGCCAACTTTCAGAAGGCCTAGAAAAGCCTAAGCAATATTTAATAATAAAATTATTTCTCAAAATTATGGTCTGTGATGGTATCATTTCATTTCACTTTTTTATTTCCTGATTCAGCTAAACTACTAACGTATCATATAAAGCACTCAAAATAACACTCAAAAGCTTTAGACAACAATACATGATTAAGCCTTTTATAAGAAGTTTATCACTTTTGTGATTTTAAAAAATAAAATTTAGGGGCCGGCCCTGTAGCTTAGCAGTTAAGTGCACGTGCTCTGCTACCGGCGGCCCGGCCCGGGGTTCGGATCCCGGGCGCACACCAACGCACTGCTTGTCCAGCCATGCTGAGGCTGCGTCCCACATACAACAACTAGAAGGATGTGCAACTGTGACACACAACTATCTACTGGGGCTTTGGGATTAAAAAAAAAAAGGAGGAGGATTGGCAATAGATGTTAGCTCAGAGCCGGTCTTCCTCAGCAAAAAGAGGAGGGTTAGCATGGATGTTAGCTCAGAGCTGATCTTCCTCACAGAAAAAAATAAATAAATAAAAATAAAATAAAATTTAAAAAGTCAGCAAACATTTTTCCTAAAAGTTGATTTATCTTCTAGAATCTCATAATACTCTCAGTCTGTATCATTATAATAGTCATATTTATTATGATAACATTCTTCAATGGCATTCTCTTTCTTACTTTCTTACTACTGTGGCTTCAACCAAGAGGAGACACCCTGGTATTTAGCAAGCAGCTGAGAAATGTGTTACAAATGACTTCAAGGTAATTTAAGTACCCAAGTCTGCAAATATATACCTTTCTTTTTTATGTATGTAAGGGAACCCATCCCAGAACGACTATCAACCCTCCATGCCCATCCCCACTGCTACCCTCAATGTTCCTGGTCAGACCTATAGAATTTCTGTCCTCTCAATAATATTAGGAAGAAATCCTTCACCCTCTTCTACTCCTCCCTTCCTCTCTCTTACCTCCTCCTCAAAGTGGGAGACACTTATCTAAGTGGTAAGACTAGGGAAAGGGGCACTACGCAGGCCTAATTCATCCCCTCACTGACTTCTTCTTTCAGGATCCAGCCTATTAATGACAGTCTCCCTTCCCCAACATAGTTAGCAGCCTGTTCCTGAGGGGTGAGGCCTACAAGTGGTCCAGCTGTCTGCCTGTGAGTGGGTGAATGAGTTTAATGGACTAGGAAGGAAATATTAAGTCACAGTCTCTAATATTAGCTGTAAGCTAACATTTCAATCCCTGACTTCAGCATCAATTTCTAAATTGTATAATAATTTAGAGGAGAAAAGTATGACCAATGATCACCCCAACAAGGTAAATTAGAGCAGATTATTCCTTTAATAACATAACTCTCATTTTCTGTGCTTTCTTGCCTGGGAGAGAAAGGAATTGAGCATTACCCTGAATATACTTGAAGAAATATCATTCCTTGTATATTCCACAACAATGACAAAAACTTAAGACCCACGGGAACAAGATCTTACATTTAGGCCACTGATCCTTTATTATCTTCTACCTTACGTCAAGTGGACACATCTTATCTTCTAAATGAGAAGAATTTTCCTTGAACATATATATCGTCTTATTGAATATTATTTTTATGCCACTCATTAAATAATTTGCAGTAATTTTAGATACTAAATGAAGCTTCCTTGATATCTCCAAAAGTAGTAGAAATGACTGTCTGTTAGGTTAAAGCCCTTACTTCAGTTCAAAAACATGTGTCTGAGACTCTTACTTCTTCAAACCAAATGTACTTTAGATTTATTTTAAAGTATACCATAAATCTGTATAGAATCCATGAAATATATGAGGATATGTGAATAAATGTTTGCTTCTGGCTTGGCTTATAAAATATCTTTTTTTCTTGTATTACTGTAGGTTTCCATTTTCTTGCAATTTTTTCAATTTGGCATCTTAAAAAAATGAAACTACAACCAACTTTTAGCACTAAACTGATGCTCACAAATCATATTCATGTACAATGAAAGTAGTCCCAGAGTATAATCTGCATTAAAACAATTCATTAGATTTTATAAATTCTCTATCACTATTATCAAGAATCACATATACAAGATGACTCCAACTTCACACAGCATTCAGGCTAATTTTTATGACTTTTTTTTTCTTTTTGTTAATTGCCATGTTGGTTTCTGATGGAGTGAAAAATCACTAAACTTCAAGCACCACCATAACCTTATGTTCTGGGACTATGGTACAACTCATGTATCAGAACACTGTAGGTTGACTCCTCGCTGGCTACACATTTAGAGGAAAGGGCAGAATACACAGACTATGACAGACCTGTGTTCAACCTTCCTACTAGTAGAGGGTAACATACATAACCTCTATGATCCTCAGTCTTCTCATCTGAAATTAGACATGATAATCCTTATCTTATAGAGTTTTAAACTCTATAAGAAGAGAAAAAATATGTGAGAAAAAAATATATAAGAACCACAACACACAGTAGGTGTACAACAAATGGCAGTATTGTTCTAATCAGTCTCAACCACAGTTCTAATACAGATGAAGGCCACCAAAGATTCATGGCATTGCTGCAACACTATTTATTTTAAAAGACTTTGTATAATACATTATATTTAGTTTCAAGTCAACTTACCAAGACAGGAGTACAAACCCTGACTTATCCAAGCTAATATGGCAAGAGTTATAAGGTCACCAAAACTAGCAGCAATGGGTGTAGCAACATTATCAGGATTTATACCAGTCTTCTTTGAACCAACGATAACTCCAACCATTATTATTCCTAGAAGAAAGAAAGCTCATTACTTTTATGCTATGATTTAAAGAAAATCAATCCCCTAAATACTGAAATATATAGGCTAGACAAACAGCATATCAGTTCCAGTTAGACTGCTTAGATAAGCTGACTTTAGCAAACAAAACATTTTACTTTAATGTTTTGGCAAAAATGCCTTTCAACAAATTCCAAGTGGGGATCGTAGAAGATTTGAGTTCAATGTTGCATTTAAAGACCTGAAAAGCTACTTTAAAATAATATTAAAGCTAAAGTTTAAAATTTAGTAACATGTCTGTCTTAGACGTAATGTATTCGTGTGTATCAAACCCAAAGATTTTATTTTAACCCTCAAATAAAGTTATAGTCAATAAACCCATAAAAATGTCAAAGAAAGGTGAGTCATTTATATGCATAGCAATTGGGACGAAGACCAACACAGATTTGTTTACATAGTGGTAGTCAGAAATGCTTGCTTCATTTTATTATTTAAAAGTGTTACATAGTGGTAGCCAGAAATGCTTGCTTCATTATTATTATTTAGAAGTATTAAGAGGAGGGAAGTAGTTAAATTTTGAACACCGGAGGCCAGAACACAAGAAGCAGTCTTTGTAAAGGATATTCTTTAAACCCAAAGTTTCTGTTTATGAACCTACAACTAGAGAACAGAAGATGAAAATGTGACTGTATTTGTACTTTTAAATCTTTATTTTGAATTTGAATCATAGAAATGGGAGAAAAATGATAACATTTATATCTATATCCAATTGTATAGATTTTTTTCACGCCAATACATTCATTAAGAGAATGCAATGCAGAGAAAATTTATGATTAGTTCATTTATGAGTTAACCATAAATCAATATGGAAGCCTAAATCTGACTATAGAAAAAAAAGTCTCACCACATTTTTAGACTGAAAATGACTCTAAATAATTTTATTCGAGTGTGTTCATTTTGTGGATAATAAAACTGAGGTCCTAGGAGTAGGGTTTAAATTCTTGCCTAAGGTCACATAGCTTGCAAGTAACTTTGGTCCACTGTTTTTTATACTACTCCATAAAGCCCATATTATTAAATACGGGCTTTTGTCTTCATTCAGTGTCTCACATCTTGTATTGTGGAGACTTTTTCAATCTATGAACTTACCTTTCCCATAATATCATTGTAAAAAGAAAAAAAAAGTAATAGCAGAAAAGTCTTTAAAATGTATTATACAATAATCAATCAAGATGTGATCAGATAGATAGAATTCTTTTTTCAAAATCAGCACATTGAAAGATCAATATGTAAAGTTCTCCTGACAGAATGCCATCTATATCTTTTCAGCTGAAAACAAATATTTTGCCATCATGGATCAATGGAAAGAATTGGGAGGCAGGAAACAGGTTTTAATTCTGATTTTTCTGCAAACAAGCTGATGAAATTGGACAAGTCACCTGACCTGAGTCAGTTTTCTCACCTACGAAAGGTAGTTAATAGTATCTGCTCCACATATATAAAGGTCAAGCTATCATAAAATTAGAATACACATTATTCAAAGTAAGAAGCCCTAAACAAATTTTAAAAATCTGAATTTTATGGCTTTGAAAATCCTAAGCAATACAAATACTTGTTAGACTGAAAAATTTTAAACAATTCTTTATAAATGAAACAAAATTAGAAAGAGAACAGAGGCAAAGAGCCTAAAGAAATAGTGTTAATGCTTTTTTTTTTTTTTCCTTCACCAGAAATTAATTTCCCAATAGCTTAACTTCACTCTGCTTTGGCCAGTGTTAACTCCATTCAATTCTAGTAATTCTATATATAGAAAAGAAACTACCCCGATATAATTTAAGTACTAAAACAAAATGCTTGAATATTTTGGAAGTCAAGTCTTAATTTTAATAAGATTCTCTAAATTACCAGAACCTAGCCAAAAAAGTTAGCTTCATTGTATGATCACCTGACATGAGAATCTTCTATTTTTAACTTTGCTAGTGATAAAAGGGTAAGATCGCAACTATAGAATGAAAAGAACCAACTCTTTATGATTATGATTCCATAATAAGCTAGTTCTCTAGTGTGAAGTTCATATTAATAAATAAATATAAAAAATGATATCCCAACTGAAAAATTCTAATGCAGTTAATTTTTAAAACCTCCTGGCTTTTTAAAATTCTATAGCCAACAATATACTGTGTTAAGCGTATGGTTATATTTGTATAGCCACAGAAACAGTGGAGAAATTTTTTTGAAATCTGAAACTTTAAAAAATTTTAACAGAGGGACTGCTTTTGAACCTCAGAATTCCTGGAATACTTGTTACTCAAATGACAAGCCAGTAAATCCTCTGCATGATTTCCATAAAGGAGTTTCTCAATTAATTTAACTTACAGACACAAATGAATATCTAGGCTATTTTCCTAATCTTGTTTGGGAACCGTACCAGGGTACCTAAGGCCAGAAGACAACCTCAGAAAGCTTGTTCTACACTAAGGTTTACATATAAATACATCTGAAATAAGATATTTTAAATGTTTGTAGATAACTTTTTTCTGTTGTTTTATAATGAACAAGTATCATTTAAATAAAAATAATCAACATGGCAAATAAGTCATTTGAAAGTACAAGACTATAGAGCAGACACTGATGAATTTACTTACCCTGCAGAAGAGATGCGATGAAGGCAGTTGCTACACTGCTAGAGCACAGAAGTATGGAATGATCAAGATAGTATTTTCCCTCTGGAATCCAGCCCAAAATAATTGCTGCCACAGCTGCTAGAAAACCGACTACTGTCGCCTGAACCTAAAATTTTTTTTTAATAAAATCCAACTGAATTATTCATTTCGAGAACACATTTTTAAATTTGATTATGTAAATATGCATATAAGAAGTCAGAAGACAGTGTTACATATAGTAATTGAGCTGCCTTACCTTTTGAAGAAGCTACTGTATTTTAGTTTTAATATTCTCTATGGCGATGGGTTTTCAAACTGCCCTGATCTGGTGGCAATAGGTATGGACTAGGGTCCAGGAATCTGTTTTTAACAAGCACCCCAAGTGACTCTGACACTGTAATCCACAGATCATCTAAGAAAACACCAACCTGAAGACTGAAAAGTACCCAATCCACACAACTGAAGTTTGACTCTAGAGGCAGTGTTGGCAAGAGACTAGATTTTATAACTGAGTGATAGGAGTTTGGCTCCTGGCTGTACCACTTAATCTTATGGCAAGTTATTTAAATGCAACAAGCATTTATTTAGAATCTACCATGTCCCAGGCGCTATGCTTGGTGCTGGGCTACAACAGTGGTGAAAACAGATTTATTCCCTGCTCTCGCAGAGCTCTTGGCTGGTGGGAGAGATAGACATTAAAAAATAACCTCACAGATAATCACAATCATGATTAGTGCTATAAAAACTTTAGCTCCTAATCTGTAAAATGACAAAGATAACATCGAACTTGGAAGGGTTGTTTTGAGATTTAAATGAATTACATAAATATATATAAAGTGCTTCCCACAGCGCTGGCACAAAGCAACACTGAAAAAAAAAAAAAAGGGCAACCAAAAAAAGTAACACTGACTGAACTCTTAGAATTGTATTAGTACAATGTTAGACCTAAAAGAAACCCTAAGGGAATCATCTAGTTCACTGACTCGTAACTGTGTTTGTGTTATGGACTCCTTTGACAATCCGGCGAAACTTTTATTTATTTTTTTGTGAGGAAGATCAGCCCTGAGCTAACATCCATGCCAATCCTCTTTTTGCTGAGGAAGATTGGCCCTGGGCTAACATCCGTGCCCATCTTCCTCCACTTTATATGGGACGCCGCCACAGCATGGCCTGATAAGCGGTGCCTCAGTGGGCGGCCGGGATCTGAACCCCGGGCCGCCAGCAGCGGAGCGCGTGCACTTAACCGCTATGCCACGGGGCCGGCCCCTGGCGAAAATTTTATAGAGATCTTTCCCAATGAAAATATATATGCACGCAATATTTTGAATAGGATTTCTAGGTGCCCACAGATGCTGAAGCCAATCCATGTACTGGAATCCAGGGCTCTGGGAGAAAAACCCGAGTAGTCTGATCCTGCCATATAGTAAATCAAGGAAGAGCCAGGGCTGGCGAGTCCAGATTTCCTAGATTCCAGTCCCATGATCTTTCATTACAGCTCCTGTTGACGTCACCCAGATTCAGAGCTGAGATTCAAGCTGTAAGCACCATTATGGCTATACCAGCTATTAAAATATTTCAGCATTTTTGTCCTGGTTGGTAAATAATATACTATGTAAAAGCAGTAAAATTAATTAATAATATAAATTCTCTCATGGTGATTCCAACATTTTTCTGGTTTGATGCTAAAATACAAAGCTAGGAAGCCTACTGCAACCATCATGGCATATCTATATGTATGTATGATGTATGTACGAATCTAGCTAGCTATTTATGAGGAAACAGAAGCGCACAGCTGAGATGAGGAAATCGTATTCTGTAAACCTGCAAAAGAAATGTCTCATTGTATCCAAGAGAAGAGTGACGTGTGGGTTCAAGGAGTAGCTGTGGAGGCTAACAGGGGCCACAGATGTTGGTGTGGGGCACAACCCTCCCGGCGAGGTAATGGTTCTTCAGTGAGATTAGGAAGTTTGCTTAATTTGACAACTTACGCACCGGTCGAGGTGGCCACCTCTTACAGTTGTGAAGAAATCTGTGTGACAGGTAATCTGCTTGAGATCCGATTTAATAGCCAGAAGAGCAGACAGCCCAGCCAGTGAGAGCACGAGCCCCCTCTGTCCTTTCCATCCTTCCCCACCTCCACCTCCCACAGCCAGTGTCCAGACAGAGGAGCCCTTGCTAGCCCATCCCCCTCCCCTCCCCATGCTCATCTACTCCATCGCAAGCTTTAGCAGATGAAGCCTCGGAGAGAGCACAGCCACTCCCCACACACCCCCCACCATCTTTTCCTCTCCCTCTGCTTTTGTCCAGGGGTAACTGGGCTCCAACCAGCTGCTGCCTCACTGGCTGGCACCAACTGTGTCCTGATGGGCCTGTGTGGGCTTCCCTGTTTCTCATACATCCTTGGTGGAGTGAGACAGACAAAGACACAGACTTCAGGCTACGGCAACTAGGATCAGTGAATCCCCAGACTTCTCTGGCTCCCATCCTGACCAACAGTTACAGGGAGAGAGGATGGTAAGGGAAGGGTGGAGACTAAGAGTGGAAGGAAAAATTAAAAGCTGAGATGGAAATTATTAGAATGATTTGATAAATATGAAAATTATTAGAATGATTTGATAAATAATTTACACTACAGCTTATATTACTTGGTAAGAGTTTAGGGTACTTAAAGAATAAAATGGAATATATTTTCAAATTTTTATTTATAGATTAATTTACAGTAGTCTACTGGTTGGTAAATATTTTGATTATTACCTCTGCCCAGATTCCTGCAGTTTCAAGCTGAAAGGGATCATAGACATCTCTAATGCAATCCTGTGACTTAAAAGAAGAGGAAAACGAAGCCCAGGAAGGTTAAGTAAATTAACAAAGGTTATACAGGTGGTTAATGTTAGAGCTGAGATTAGATCCCAGGTTTTCTTATTTCTAACCACGTGATCTTAGAAGTAGCTGCACAAATATTTTTTAAGCCTATATTCCAAAAATTCCTGTATTTCTTTGTCTTTGAAATGCATTACATGAAATTACTTTTCTGCAACCATGTTCTCAACATCACGTCCCAGCTGAGCTAACATGAAAATGAGTGAACACTCCCTAAGCTCACACTTGCTAGAGCGTTATAGGGGGCTACAGTCTTGTGTCCCAGGGGCAGGAGAGGGTGGTGGGAGAGGAAGAGACATTCACCTGATATTAGAAAGAGCTGTAGATAATCTATATATAATCCATGGTTTAATGTGTATGTAATTGACAATTTAATGTGTTCGTTTACATTAACACTAGTAACATTAACAAATTGAGGAAAATTCGTCTTAAATAAACATCTGACTATAATACATATAAAAAAGCTAAGTTTAGGGGATTTGCTTTTAAAAAATCAAAGTAAAAAAATAGCACCTAAGCTGGTTACCAGGGGCTAGGGGGCGGGGGGCAGGCACAGGGGTGGAGGGATGCACTTATATGGTGACTGACAAACAATAACGTACAACAAAAATTTCAGAATAGGGCCGGCCCTGTGGCTTAGCGGTTAAGTGCGCGCGCTCCGCTACTGGTGGCCCGGGTTCAGATCCCGGGCGCGCACTGACGCACCGCTTCTCCGGCCATGCTGAGGCCGCGTCCCACATACAGCAACTAGAAGGATGTGCAACTATGATGTACAACTATCTACTGGGGCTTTGGGGGGGAAAAAAAAGGAGGAGGATTGGCAATAGATGTTAGCCCAGGGCCGGTCTTCCTCAGCAAAAAGAGGAGGATTACCACAGATGTTAGCTCAGGGCTGATCTTCCTCACAAAAAAAAAAAAAAAAAAATTCAGAATAAAAAAAAAGCTCAGCCCCCTCAGTATATGCAGATGGATCCTGTTTTAGGAAGATGTGCAAATCCTTAAGCTCTTAAAAACAGAATAATTAAGAAGTGAATTTCACATTAAAAAGGAATTTTAAAAGCACAGTGTGCTCCCTTAATGCATTTATATCATATAAAGAACATGTTAGCGAGTTAAAAAATGTCAGTTCATAAATTGAAATGTATATGCAGTGCTATAATTTCTGTCTTTTCTTTATCTGTGTTTTACACCTTTTTTATGGATAGCTTCCTCTGTATCTGCTTCACAGCAAACACTCCATCATCCTACAGTTAGTGGACAGTAACAGATGCAACTGAAATTCCTACCAGTTTAGTTTATCCTGAACGCTATGATGACACAGTTATCTCAAGAACTTGTGACTGTAATCACGTAAGAGTCCTGTGGAAATGAAAAATTATGTTTGACTCCCAAATTAAAGAATTTATGTGTAAAAGAAAGTGTGAATAAATCTCAAATCAAATGTCAAAAAAAAAGAAATAGCACGTAAGCAATGAAGTACTAAATATTGATTTGTATAGATATTAACTCAAGTTCTGGCTCCATTACAAACTTATGATAGAAAATATTTTTTATATTTTTTCTATATTTTGTATATTATATATTTTTCATATTTGGAAGAACCTGATCAGTTTCTGGAGAATGAAAACTTTCAGAGGTTATGGGTATCTATTTATTCTACCACTTTTTCATGATACTAAATTATTGTTTTGGAGTTCCCTGAAACGATCAAATGGTAGATTTAATAGCAATATAATTTATTACACTCTGACATGTAACATCAAAGATCTACAAACAAATATGTGTATCACTTACCTGCTTTAAAGCCAAGTTGCCAATTATTAGGTTCCACTTTTCAATGGGTGAATCCATCTTCCCGATGTTTACCTGTTAAGGTGGATATTTTCAAGTATCACTGAATAATCTATACACTGTCTACTCTGTTTAAACAGCAATGAAATCTTAAAGCCAAAGATAATTCTTTAGTAAATCTGATGAGCTCACATTGCACTTTAAATATAATTCTGAATTCACAACCAGTCTTGCATCTCACATTCAGCTTGCCTGAGATATTTAGAAGAAATAAATTTTTTTTACTTAATAACTAGCCGAGTGGTTAGTACAATCTGTATGCCCACTGATGTTATTTTACCACTAACATCATCAAGTGTCACCCTAACAGGCCAAATTTTATGTATTGAGGTCCAATATAAATAATTACATAATTCTGAGCTGCTAGCATTTAATTCCACATCATGAAACTAATGTTATTTTAAGAATTATTGACCAAAACCTCAGATATAAACAAATCATTCATATGTACATATTTATATTTGAGTCATGACTAAAACTGTTAGCAATAAAAAAAATCATTACAGTTCACATATGAATTTCTTTTTTCTTTGGTGAGGAAGATTGGCCCTGAGCTAACATCTGTTGCCAGTCTTCCTCTTTTTGCTTGAGAAAGATTGTCCCTAAGCTAACATCTGTGCCAATCCTCCTCTATTTTGTATATGGGACGACGCCACAGCATGGCTTGATGAGGGGTGTGCAAGTCTGTGCCTGGGATCTGAACCCGCGAACCCCGGGCCGCTGAAGCGGAGTGTGCAAACTTAACCACTATGCCACTGGGCTAGGCCCCCCCATATGAATTTTGATCATGTATCTCACTATTAACATTTATACATCTTTCTGCTAAATACAAGAATACTCTCCAAAAAATAATATTGTTGTTCACATATTCAATTGCTCTGTAAGCTAAATCACACTTCTTAACCGCTTAGGATTCAAATAATGTATGTCCAAATCTGAAAAATTTTTCTAATGCAGTCACTTGGAAAGCATGAACAATCATTATTAAAAATACTATATTGTTGGGCCTGGCCCAGTGGCACAGCAGTAAAGTGCGTGCTCTGCTTCGGCGGCCCAGGGTTCGCCGGTTTGGATCCCAGGCACACACCGACACACCGCTTGTCAAGCCACGCTGTGGCAGCGTCCCATATAGAGTAGAGGAGGATGGGCACAGATGTTAGCCCAGGGACAATCTTTCTCAGCAAAAAAAAAAGAGGAGGATTGGCATCAGATGTCAGCTCAGGGCTGATCTTCCTCACAAAAAAACAAAAATACTATATTGGGCTGGGTTTCAATTATTCATCATCGGCTGGGTCAAGGAAAATAGCTGAATGGGTAAAGTGGGAGATACATAAGGATTGTTATTTATGGGTAGTTTTAACCATGGACAGACGAAAGGTTAGCTCACTGGCTTCAGACTAGCAGGTTAAGTGCTACAACCATCCACCTTTCCTTTATCAATTCAGAAAACAGATTCTATTCTCTAACCTCACTTTGGATTGTAGTCTCAAAGTATCCAGAAAATACAAATATTAAGATTTCTCAGTGTTTCAGAATAATTATTCATGCTGTCTTAATTTGTAGATTTCTTTCCTAAACCTGGAAATCTAAATTATTGATGAAATTTGTGTTTGTATCTCTAGCAACCTGGGTCTTTGCTCAAGTGAGTAATAAGGTACAAGCAATGTTTAAAGAGTGAACCTACCTCAGGTTTAGCGTTCAAGAAAGAGGTATGAGAGAAATTAGTGTTACAAATTAGCTCTGTTTTCCTGACCAAACCCAGACTGACAGAGCAACCTCACACTATTCAATTAATCTGTTTTATAAATGATGGTGATCACAACCTCTAAGTCCCTTCCAGATCTAGAAGTCTCTGAATCTGTAATCCTTTTAGTCTAAGATAAATAATAAACACCAAGTTAATGTATTATATGAAATAAAATATATTTCGCATTTATGAAATATAATTTATGATGTGAAATCATAATGTATGAAGTGAAATAAAAAAACTAGAATATATTCACAAGTACTAATAACTTTTTTTAACAAAGCAAAGACTTTGAGAAGTAAGGATTAAAAACAACTAAACTAAAGAGAAATGTTGACTCAAATTTACCTAGTTAGGGAAAATAGTTACGGTATGGCATGCATTGCGGGTGGGGGTGGAGGTATGGCAGGACACAGAAAATTGACCTTTGTGGCCTCCATCTCCTAGAAACTGCACCAAGAACTGGGCTGACTCACTCTGTTGTCCAGGGGCCTAGGATTAAGATGAACTATCTAAATTTTTTCAGAGTAGAGAGGAGGAAGCATGAATGTTCTGTCTAAAGGCTTTTGCTAGGTCTGCTTTTATTAGATTAGTTGACCTGACAGTGCTCAGCTAGAGAAACTAACAACTTAGAAGGTGATAAACTATAGTAGGGTATGATCTGATAAAGTCTTCCATGTAACCTAGATTTATTTGAATTACTTATACCTTAAAGTACTAGAAAAACAGGCCAGTATTTTTGCACAGACACCAACTAGTTTTTTAGGAAAGAGTAGAGCTGAGGTGACCAGAGCCTGAAGATGTGGTATACTTGGCCAACACAGTGGTTTCAAATTCTTGAATCTGAATGCCTTTAGGTGGAGTCTGCAATCTCTACTTTTTATAATCCCTACACCCTTCCTCCTCATAAATGTATGTTATATATTATCTATCTGACACTGAAGAACATGAATTATGGGTAGGACTTAAAAGTCCTTTAAAATTATCATTTAAAATGGTAGAAGAAAATACCATAAACATGGGATATAAAAGTAGTATGGAACCACTCAGCTTAAAAAGCCTAAAATGTCTAAATATTATTCCCAACTAAAAGAAACCAGGGCTCCCTAAAGAAATGGTTGATTCCAGGGCTGGGACAGGGAAAGTATAAGAAAAACCTGGAATATCTTGTTGTGCCAGAAAGTATCAAAGTGCTCAAAAAATAATGGGGTCATGTCAAAAGGACACAGAACCAATTTGAAATGGCTTCCTCCTGGGAAAATCTGAGATAATTTGGGCATCAAAATGAATAATGGCAGTAATAGATTATAACCCATTGAATAAAATAAGAATCCATTGAGTGCATACTGAGGATGGATGGGTGGACAGATGGACGGATGGACGGATGGGTGGATAGATAGATGGATGAATGGACGGATAGATGGATGGATGATAGATAGATAGGAAAGACAAGGGAGAGCTTTTCATTAGTAGAATGCCAACTAATAAATGTAAAAGGAATAATAGAATTAGAAAATCACCATTTAACAACCTTCAAAGTAATAATGGATTCAGCCAAAAATCACTAACATATGCTAGGACAACTGGCTAAATTTGGTTAAGGAAAAGGATATTTCCACAATCTCCAAGTATCTTCCTACAGATTTCTTACTAATTAAAAAGGGGTAAAATGTAACTTTATATTGGAGAAACGTGGCAACACTGTTATTCAAATAATCAATGAGAAAAACTGTATGATACTATTTATATGAAATCATAAAAAAGTGACTGAAAGATCAGTGATTACTTGGGGCCAGAGGTGGTGGCAGGATTGACAGCAAAGGAGCACAAGGGAACCTTTTGGGGTGAGGGAAATGTTCTATATCTTGTTTGTGGTGGTAGTTACACAGTTTAATATATTTGTCAAAACTAATCAAATGATACACTTAATATGGGTGCATATTATTACATGTAAATTATACTTCAATAAGGTTAATTTTTAAAAAGTGAGTAAGATCATTTCATACAGCAGTAATCATTTTTAAAAAATAACAAACATTTATACTTCTACTACCTGGCTTTGTCAAATATTAAAATTTGACCATATTTAGCATACCAATATATCACATATATGTTTAACATCATTATCTTGTCCCATAGGTATCTGAAGATCTATTTATATTTCTTCAATTTTTTTCCTCTCAGTTCTTCATACTGTATAACTTCTATCAATCTATAAATTTATAAATCCTTTCTTCTGCTATCACCAATCTGATATTGACCCCATCAAGTATACTTTTCTTTATGGTTAATGTAATTTTTACTCTAGAATTTCCATTTGATTCTTTTTTACAGTTTCCATATCTCTTTTAAGATTCCCTATCTGTTCACTAAGACACATTTGTTTAACTCTTTGAACATTTTTTCCTTTAGTTCTTTGAACATATTTATACCAGTTGCTTTGAAAGATTTTGTTAAATCCAACATGGGCCCACTTTGAGTCACCTTCCATTGACTGAATATGAATCACACTTTTGTGTTTCTTCTACATCTAGTGATTTTTGGTTATACACTAGACAGTGTAATAATGTGTTATAACGACTCTGGATAATGTTATGTTCTTCTGAGGATTGTTGGATTTCCCTTCTAACAGGCAGTTAATTTGCCTAGACTCAAACTACAGACTCTCGTCTCTCTCACAGTGTGGAGCAGCTCATATTTCTGCTTCATTCTTTCAGTTACCAACTATTGCTTTTTAGCCTAGCCCTTTGGGGATCTCTCCTGAACCTGTGTAGTTTAATCGTCAGCCAAAGATTTGGACAGAATTTATATTCAGATTTTGGGGCTCATCCTTTCTGCAGTTTTCTTGCTGCTGGGATTTCCCCATAAATTTCCATCTGCTCTGTTAGCTCTAAGCTCTTTTATCTGATAATTCAAGCCAATAAAACTTCAACTTTCTGCCACTATAGCAATGCATAAGTCACAGAAGGCACTTAGTCAAAAAAGCAAAAAACTCACAAATCTTAACGAGTACATTTGTCTTTCAAGCATAGGCCCCTCTCACATTTCTGTTTACTTTTTTTTGCCACATTCCCTGACCTCTGCCACTTCAAGCCGGTAAGACTGTGGGTTTTCTGGCATATGAATTCCAGGGGTTGGGGAACTCCTTCAGGCAAAAAAGCCACGAGTTTTGTAATTCTTACCTATTGTAGTTGTGGTCTTTCAAGGGTAAATTCTAGTTTCTCTCTGCTTTTGATCATTTTCCACTGCCTTCAAATAATTTGTCTAG